CTTGGATCACTGGCGTACCGGGTGCGGCAGCTTCGGGTACACTTGTTTTATACACACTTTCCAAAAATACTGGAGGATTGTCATTCACGTCAGTCACCCGAAGACTGATAATACGAGACGCGTGTAAAGGAGGCGATCCTTTATCCGTTGCGACTACATTTAAAGTATAAGCAGATCTAGATTCTCGATCCAAAGGTAATGCGACTACAACTAAGTAGATGATGTTATCGTGCGTTCTTAAATCGAAGTGTCCATCACCACCACTTAGTGTTACATTTACATTTGCGTATTCCGCTTTTGAATCCGGATCATGCACAGATATTCTCGCTACGAATTCATCTAGCTGCGCAGATTCTGATATTTTTGGAGTAGCATCATCACTTAGGAATATAACGTCTATGGTTGGTTGATTATCATTCACATCCGTAACACGAATAGATACAAAGGCAGTTGTTTCTAATGGTTGTGCACCTTTATCTCTAGCAACGACAACGAGTTCGTGCAGTTCTTTGGTTTCAAAATCCAAAGCTTTATTTACAGTAATCTCTCCAGTATCTGGATCTATCTTGAACATATTCTCTTTGTCACTTTGTCTTCTATTTATCGAGTATTCGATTAATCCATTCTCTGCTGCATCAGAGTCGGTTGCGAAGACTTTTAATACAGTCGTACCTATCGTGGCATTTTCTGGTATTGTCGCTGAGTATACACTCTCAGCAAATACTGGAGGATTATCATTTACATCTAAAATTGTAATATTTACAGTCATGGTACCTCTAAGTGGTGGTGTACCGCCATCTAACGCTTCTATAACTAATTCGTAATGGTCCGTCGTTTCCCTATCAAGAAATCCATTGATCTGTAGATCTAAATAAAGAACACCGTCTAATTCCCTATGGGAAGACAATCTGTACGCGTTTTCCGTATTACCCGACACTATATTATACCTTTGAGTATTAAAAACACCTAAATCCTGATCCCTAGCTGGATTTAGTTTTCTTTTAACGTCCCTGGGAGTATTTTCAGAAAACTCTACATTCATAACTGGTGTTGGAAATGTGGGTGCGTTGTCGTTTTCATCGGAGACTCTTACAACGACGCGGATGTTGTCGCCACTAGCGGGTATGGC